ATTTTTCATTTAATATTTTAATTATTTTGTGCAGTTTTATATATATATACGTACTTAAAATATAGAATTGGTGACGTGCAAACGAGGTATGACTCGTATATTTCACACTAGGTGGTATATATGTGCTTTTTTAGGGTTATTCGTTACTGAGGCGTTGTGTTTTCTCAGAGTCGACTGGAGCACAAAGAGCTGACGGACTGTCAGAATTTTACAGCAGGTATATAGTTGTTTTGTTGGGTATCTATACGGTCTTCTCATCATGACTTTTAGAATACCTCTCTGCCTTGCTCCACTTTGAGGAAGTTAGTCTTGTTTGCACCACCCCATGTCGTGATACAATATCCAAGTAATGATTGGCAGATCGCGAAGTATGTAAATTTATTTATTTATTTACACATCATGCACATTAGGTGCATTGGCGGACTTAATGCCTAAGGCATTCTCTACCAGTCAACCATTGGGTGATGCAGAGAAAACAGGCAGTAGAACATTTTAGTTACAGTTAATTTAGACATTTAATATTGTATGTATACTTTGTACAAAATCATAAAATATATACACATATACAATACTGTCATATACTACTTCTATACATATTAACATTACACATAAGTACATACCTTATTATACATAAATACTGTATAAAAGGAGATAAATACATACATACACACGCAAGTAGATACTGATAACAATTTTGTATTAAAATAAAAAGAAAAAGTATTGGAAGCCATCCTGATTTCGAGTGGAAGCGCATTCCAAAGAAGAACGGACTGAACGATAAAGGAAGAGCCAACAAACTCAGACGTGTTTTAAACCTTGCGGCCTCTCTGAGGGATTTGAAGACGTGGATGAGCCGCATGATTCTGTTTGTTAGGGTGTCGATGTTCTTAGCCCATCTAGGACCATCGTCAATTTGCACACCCAAATACCTCACAGTATCTGTTTTAGTAAAACTGAGGAAGCATATTCATCAAATGCTAGAAAAATTAAATACGGCGTGCCACAGGGAAGTGTTTTTGGCCCATTACTTTTTTCTCTGTTACATAAACGATTTTCCTAACACTATGAGTCAACGGTCTTTATTTGCCGATGATAGTACAGTCATTTTTAATAATGGTACATTAAATAAAATATAAAACGATATAAACAATAGTTGTAGACATTATTCTTAAATGCTAATAAAATCGAATCAGTCGAAAACAAAATTTATGAATTTTCAAATAAGACAAAAATGGACATCAGAAGTATATACATCTCATACAAGAAGAAATCGTAGAAGAAAGTATAGTAACAAATTTGTTAGGGCTAACATTGATAATGACATGTCATGGAAAACTGAAATTGATTGTGCACGCACTGAATTACACTTGTATTACACATAATAAATTAAATAAATTTTCTTATGGTTTATATATTATTATGCTATCAAAAGTAACCAATAAAAATGCACTTCTTGCTTATCACGGCTATGTGTCATCGACCTAAAGCATTCTACTCCACAATAGATTTTCTGGACGATAAATTTTAATTTTAATTTGTTATGTATATAATTAGGTATTTACAATTAAGTATTTGTATTTTGACGTTGTAATTATTAATTGTTTTATCATTTTGCAGAATCATTTCAATATTTTGACATATTTAATTTGTCATTTTTGATTATTAATTAGTTGACATATTGAGTTGGACATTTTTAATTATGTTAACTTTTTCCCAATTAATCGTCATTTATCAATATATTATTTAATAAAAAAATCAAATCAACGTCTATTTTTATTGAATTCATTAAGTATGTGATTACAGGACTTTAAACAGTTGTATTGTAACAGGAATAATGAATTACTTTTGTTGTTTTGTATGGCTATTGACGAAACCTGGCGATCTTTTAAATATGGTTTGTAACATCTGAATTTACCTGTGTTTTACGAAATAAATGATTGATTGATTGATAGTAAGCGTGATACAGGCACATGATTGGAATGGATTGGAGCATGAGTGAACTTTCACTGAGTTTCAGACATTAGTCCATAAATGTGTTAGTAACAATCATCTTACAACAATGTTAGTTCTACATTACACCAAAAACAAATTACAAAATAAATCGTGGGGATGCGCTAGCATGCAAGCGCATCCACCTTTGTAGGACTGGAAGGTCCCACCTCTCGGACATTACTCTCAGGATGCCATTGGTGCTGCCTAGCAGTCGATTGGACATTAACGCGCTCCGCTTCATCATAATCGCATAAAAGTCATCGCAATGTGCCTCCGCGAACATGTTTGATGCGCTACAAAAGCTCGGCAGATTCAATAGCACCCTGAAAGCATTGTTGTACTGGACACGTAGTGCGCTGTACGCCAGCTGCGTTAAGTCAGTCCACAGGCTGCACGTGTAGGACTGACAATACGCTTTGAAAAGGGTAACCTTGAATGGTGCGGTACAACGTGCGAACCTGTGAGCCAACATACTACACCTCTTACTTTGCTCTCTTTAAAGGAGTTCCGCAAAGGGTGACTGGAGGTACAATAGGGAATATGCATGTATTTTTTTTATTTTTAAACGATTCTACTAGTTATTACATTACCAAAAATAAATATAACACATCCGAAATATAAACCGTTAAGCAAAAAAAAATTATTAAAATCACTATCATTTTGGGGCAATTTGAACACGTCCATTTTGGCGCGCTTTTTTTGTGACGTCAGATTACACTTTCAGACGAATTCTATGTCAACAACGGAGTGAAGTTCATAAAGTTTGTGAAAGTTAAAAAAGTGAGTGATAAAAATTAACTTATAACTATGGAAAAGCCATTAAAAACTTATTATAAATATTGTGCCGTTCCTTTGTGCCCAAATAATATCAAAACTGCACCTCACATCAACAGCCTTTAATAGTCCACTGCTGGACATAAGCCTCACCTTAGAAAGGAGGTTTTGGCCTACTATACCACGCTGGCCAGACGGGTTGGTATAGGGTTTGTGTCAAGTTTTCCTTCTCTCAGCAGTGCTGTTGTTCTGCATAGTTTTCTCCCTTAGTCGGCTCTTACGACACCCACGGGATGAATAGGGGTGGTGACACTCTGTATTCTTAATCCGTCACCACACGGACCTGACAAAGTATATTCAGTCATTGTGTTGAGTCTTTCTACACGGGAATTTAATAATCTAACACTGAAAACGTATTAGTTATTAACTTAAAATGGAACAAATAATCACCAGAAACCAAATATTACAAATACACACAACTTGTTGACACTCTTGACAGTGTAGGTTGACGTCACGTTTTATTCAACCAATCGTAAAAAAGCCAATTTTTGATGATTAAATTTCACTATTAAATTATAATAAATTTCAAAAATAATTGTATGGATATCTTTTTTTAGCAATAAAAATTACAAATAAAACTATTTTGTCCATTTTGGTGTCACGTGCATATTCCCTATTGAGTAGCATTTGGTACCAGTTTTAAAGAAAATAAACTTACTCTTTTTGGCATTAAACTTGAGACTTTTTCTTTAAAAAAGACAACTCCCGCATTAGGAATAAATCCTGTGTCGCGGGGGACTTTACAAACATACATGAAACGGTCACAAAGAACACCCAGACTCAGAACAACAATTTGTGGATCACACAAAGTGTCGTCCCATGTGGGGTTTGAACCCACAACACTCTGCGTAGTAGGAAGCGTTATTTATGCACACACCGTCAATAGAACAACCAATGTTTGTGCTACTGAGCCCTGCACCTTGCCTCACGCCACACTCCAACCTGTACATGTCCGACCGCGCATCCAATCTTATCATATATTAATAAGATATTCGCAAATATCTTACCCTATTTTTCTGTTCGGTGGCTTTATTGAGGAGCCGTTTTGATTAATTTAATGACTAAAATATTTCTTGAGTAACTGGTAATGTAATTTAGTGACAAATCTAAACTGGCAGAAAATATAGTTGCCGTAAAAGTTTTTAATATGTTAATAATTTACCTTGCCAACAGTCCGAACACATGAGGCTGCAAGGAATAAACAATAAGAAGAGACTCACCATGGACAATGTCGTACACTTGAGCATGGGACATGAACATGAGATGAATTCAGACAATGTTGGTGTGGAGGCTCTGAAGTGTGAAGCAAAATTTGAACCAAATGATTGTGAAGGTAATAATAATAATAACACTAGCAACACTTACCTACATCAGTCGGAATTTCTTCACATTTTCGAAATAAACAAGTTTTCTATACATTTACAATCCCGTACAATCATTAAAAGCTATTAAACTGTATTGAAATGGATCCTTTTTATAAAAATATAACACAAAACCGTTTTAAATAAATAATATATATAGATATATGTTGATAGTAAGACATGACGTTTAACGTCATGTCAAAATACAAAAAATATTGAAAATGAAAGAAATTAGAAATTCGACTAGAAAATGTTAACCCGAGCTAGATCCAGAGCACTGACAACATCCCCGGACTCGTCGCTCCGCTCCGTCTTGCCGTCCCCGGAAGCTACAACAGAAGTTCCGGCCGTGGCTGAGGCGTCGAGCTCAACTTCAAGCGACGAGTTTTTCTCTCCGCCGACGTCGCCAACACCTGTACGTCGGCAGGGGAGAGGCCGGCCACCGACCAGCTTGGGATCCCGAGGACTACTGACCTCGAACAGGGTCCCCGCTACCGGTGGTGATGTGCGCCGCATGAAGTGGACAAAGTCTATTAATGAAAATGGGCATATTATCGGGCTACAGAGATGGGAACGAACCTTACTGCGTACCGTGTTCGACTAGTCTCTTTGTTTCAGGAGCTTGAACCAGCTGTCAACGTATCAGCACAACGATTGTCGGATCAAGTACGAGCTATACAGCGCTGTCATCTGCTGGATGATGCAGTACTTGAGAGGATACGCTCTGACATACGGAATAGCTTAATTATCCCTTCTTCGTCACACACTGTGGATTCGGTAGCCAACAGCACACCTCAGTTGGCATCATATACTGATGATATTGATGAACTAGTGGAGAGTGAAGTTATATCCGTAAGTACCCAATACAATGATAGGATAAGGAGTGCTTTGGAGGATGCGATTCTGGAATACCGATATTTAAATTGCAATGATAGGCCCCGGTTATTCCGTTTGCCCATTCATAAACGAAATTTAGCGCTGGTGGGTGCCCTGGATTCGTTATTGCCTGAATATTTAGATAATAGCGAAGATCTTAGTGATACACATTCTATTCTATATTGTGCGGCTATTGCAGTTTGTCGAGTAGCTGGTGTTAAAATAGCTAACAATGTCACTACTACTCGACCTAAATCTACTGTACCAGCTTGGCAGTATAGAATTGAACGTTGTATTACTGAGACCAGGACACTCATCGGTAAGCTTATTAGCTACCGATCAGGGAATATGCGGCCGAGAGTGATGCGCTTTGTGAAACAGGCATTCTTGGGGACTACCATTAGTCCTCAGCAGTACATGTCATGTGTCACAGAGCGCATAGACTTTCTAAAGCAGAAAATTTATGCATGGGCAAATAGGATAAGACGGTATAAAAAACGAATAGATCGGTATAATCAGAATCGGATGTTCCAAAGAAATGAGAAGTGGGTGTACCGGAAATGGGAGGAACCGGATCCATGTGTGGGTGATAGGCATTTGCCAGATGAAAATGTCACAAATACATTTTGGCGTAACATCTGGTCGGTGCCTGTCACTCATATAGAAGGTGATTGGTTGCAGGATGTCAGACGCTCATGTGAGTCTATAACACCTATGGAACCTGTTAAAATTGATAAAGATGATGTAAGTTGTGCAGTTCGTTCATTACCGAATTGGAAATCACCTGGTCCAGACGGACTGCACAACTTTTGGCTTAAGTGGTTCCGAAGCTCACATGCGCGTTTGGCATCTCAATTCCAGGCAGCTTTGGATTCGGGTTCATTACCCCAATTTTTAACCACTGGCATAACCCACTTACTCTATAAGTCTGGTAGTGTCATGGATCCCAAAAATTTTCGACCTATTACATGTTTACCTACCATGTATAAACTTCTAACATCTATTCTGAGACTCAAAATTACTTTACATATTAATAATAATTCGATTATGTCAGTTTCTCAGAATGGATGTAGAAGTGGGACCCGTGGCACTAAAGACCTCCTTATCATAGACATGACCATTAGCCAACAGGTACGTTGTAATCGTAAGAGTTTGGCGACGTGTTGGATAGATTATAAGAAGGCTTATGACTCGGTTCCACACACATGGCTTTTGAAGGTGCTGGAGTTGTATAAAATTGATACAACTCTGTGCACTTTCTTGAAGTCATGTATGGGGCAATGGAGAACGGCACTTCGCTATCCAGGATGTCGGCAGACAGCGATACACGATGTACTAATAAAGATCAAGCGGGGTATATTTCAAGGTGATAGTCTGAGTCCCTTGTGGTTTTGTCTGGCTTTGAACCCTCTTAGCACTTTATTAGAGGGTTCAGGGTTAGGCTATAGGTTGCAGAAAGATGATCAAGTTATATCTCACCTTCTTTATATGGATGATTTGAAACTGTTAGCCTCCAACAAATTACAATTGACAAAGTTACTAAAGGTGACGGAAAACTTTAGTAATTCTATCAAAATGGAATTTGGTGTAGACAAGTGTGCAGTCATGTATGTAAAGAAGGGTGTGATAGTTGAATCTGAAGGAATAGAGCTTTTGGATTCAACAAAACTCAGATCTCTGTCTGCCACTGAAACTTACAAGTATCTGGGTATATCACAGTCGTTGGGAATACCAGAATCTAACATGAAACAAACATTGCAGGAACGCTTTTTTGGCCGCTTGAAAAAAGTACTTAAATCAGGGGGCAACAAGGTGCGAGCCTGCAATGGTTGGGTCATGCCGGTTCTAATGTATTCCTTTGGTATACTTAGATGGACTCAGACCGAATTAGATGCCCTTGACAGGAAAGTCCGCACACTGCTGACTGCATCCCAAATGCACCACCCACGTACATCAGTTATGAGATTGTAAATCCCGCGAAAGCTTGGGGGTCGCGGTCTATTAAATATCAAGACCCTACATAATCGCGAGGTATGCAATCTCAGAGAATATTTTCTACATACCGACGTGGGAGTGCATCGCAATGTAGTTGCAGTGGATACCGGCTTCACCCCGCTCGCTCTGGCTAAAGAGAATTGGCGCAGACCTGTAGTACTTGGTGTTAATGATCGCAGGGAAGTATGGAAGGGCAAAGAGCTCCTTGGTCGGTTTTATCGGGCCCTAAACGGGTCCGATATAGATTTAAAAGCATCTACGACTTGGCTACGGCATGGTGATCTCTTTGGAGAAACTGAAGGTTTTGTTTGTGCGATTATGGACGAAGTTATCATGACGAATAACTATCGGAAATATATCCTGAAAGATGGTACGGTTGACATCTGTCGGGCATGCCACCGTCCTGGCGAATCAATCAGGCATATTATTTCTGGTTGTTCTCGTCTTGCTAACGGAGAATATTTGCACAGGCACAACCAAGTAGTCAGGATCGTACACCAACAGCTTGCCCTTAAATACCATCTTGTGAATCTAGAGGTGCCATACTATAGGTATGTGCCCGACCCAGTTCTCGAGAATGGTCGGGCCACGTTGTATTGGGATCGATCTATTATCACAGACAGGACTATTGTTGCCAATAAGCCTGATATTGTGTTGATAGATCGATTAGAGCGCCGCGCAATGATTGTTGATATCGCCGTTCCTCATGACGAGAATCTCGTGAAAGTTGAAAAAGAAAAACAAATTAAATATTTGGATTTATCTCACGAGATTGTCGATATGTGGAATGTTGATTCAGTGATCATTGTTCCGATAGTCGTATCTGCTCATGGATTGATAGCCAAGAGCCTCGACCAACACCTTAAGAGGCTCACGTTGGATGGCTGGATCAAGGGTCTGATGCAGAAGGCAGTCCTCCTTGACACGGCTCGTATAGTGAGGAGGTTCCTATCTTTGGAGTCCTAACCACCGGTGTCTTGGTCCCTGTACCCGATGTCGGTGGTCTACTATTTTTTATATTTTTAAATGTATTTTTTTATAAAGTGTATATTTAAAAATGTAAATAATATGTATATAAAGTAAATAAAGATAATAATTATAAATCTCTTTATTGTACACCAGGTATAAATATACACGGTGATTTTATAGGCGTTTTGAAAACGAAACATTTTAATTTGGAATCATCTATAGTACCAATAAAAATGGTTAAATCAATTGTAATGTTGACTAAAAAAAAGTTTCAGTTTTTATATTCATTTTTACTCGATCGACTTGGAAAGTAGTAATGGACTGATCATTCATTCATTATCTTATATGAACGAAACACGTCAGTGCCAACTGGAGTGTCCTCACTTCTCAGATTATTGAAGCTGGAACGCAAGCCTTAGGCCTTAAAAAGAGTGTCCACCAAGACTGGTTTGACGAGAATGATGAGATACTAAGTAAAGCACTTAAACAACACCGCGACCTTCTATATCAGCAGCAACACGGTTGGACAGATATATTGGACAGAGTACGACAAAGTGGCTCTGATCTCAGAAAGATGACAAGGGAGATAAAATACACGTGGTGGCTACAGAAAGCGGAACACCTGCAGTGGCTCTCTGATACAAACCAACTTGGTGCGTTTTTCGGCGAGCTGAGAACACTCACTGGAACAACTCAGCGAAAAAGTGTACCGTTATGGTCACGTGACGGCGCGACGCTGTTGACGTCCAAGGAGGACGTGTTGAATCGTTGGGCTGAGTACTTTGCGGAACTACTTAATGTTGATCGGTCAGCTGATATTCAGCAGATAAAAGAGATCACATCTCTTCCGCAAAGACATGAGCTTGATGAGCCACCGTCACTGCAGGAAGTAATAGTAGCTATCAAGAATCAGCAAAGCGGGAAGGCGGTTGGCGTGGATGGTATTCCTAGTGAACTTTTGAAGTACGGGGGGGGAGGGGCTATATGACATGATATGGAAACTTTTTACTCAGATGTGGCGTGATGAGCAAGTTCCACCTGACTTTAAGATCTCGCAAATCTGCTCACTATACAAGAATAAAGGTGACAGGTACAGCTGTAATTCCTATCGTGGTATATCGGCCGGCTTGAGTTCTTGTGTTAACTGAACTTTATAAGCCTTAAGACCCAAGTCTTTATGCAAAATACGGTGTAATGACGTTTGTGGAATGCCCAATTCCAAAGAACGACGAGGAATGGACAAACCTGCGTTTTCTTCAACACTTTGGGCTAGAGCACCAATATTCTCAGTTGTTCTTGAGCGACGTGCACGGGTTTTATTCTTCACATCACTAACTTGTCCCAACAGCTCTAATTTTGCCACCAATTTCTGTATTGCGGTCCGACAAGGTGCTTCACGTCGACCAAAAAATGCTTTAGTTTTGCGAACTGTGACTGCAAGATTTTCACCATTTTTGTAGTGACTTTTAATAATTTCAATGCGTTGTTGAAGTGTGTATCGTTCCATTTTTAGTAATGGCGTAGTTTCTACTTGTCAAATGTCAAAAAATAAAAGCTTCAAAAGTGACAGCTACCGAAATACCGGGTGATTCAAAATAACACCTTGTTGGAAAACCCTTTACATACAAGTAAATAAATACATGTGATTTATAAATACACGCAAATGTATATACATAAGGTAATATTTTTACATGTAAGGTAATATTTTACATATTATTATTTGGTCTCTTTAAGTGACGGAAACATCAGGTGGTTAAAGGTATGTGCTATGTGCACGTGATAGTGAGGTGTCGCGTATCTGTACCTTCTTTTAATACGCTTGGTATGTATGTTTGTAACGGAATCTTCAAATGTGATTTTGACCCACTTCAAAACGTCTAATTAAATGGAAACTTCGCACACTTATCAAGAACCGATGACAATACAATAATTTGATAAAAATGGCCGTCTATCTTGATCAGGATCTTCAGGATTAACGGGTTTTTTCATACCTAAAATTTTCACAAAAACAATTTTCTGTAAACTCAAACAGAAAAATCATTGATTCGTAAAAAAGCGTTTGATGCTTTTCAAGATATTTTAAAATTATATTATCCAATAACTTAACTTTGAACAATATCTGGCTATAAAATATTTTTACAACAATTGAGATCTAGCACCCCACGCATTTTTACGATAAAATGATTTTTATTTTATAAACTTTTAGAACATTATTTTCCACATTTTAGTTCGGCTAGCTACAAAAGCGTGTTTTTTTGGTTTTTAAACTATAATTTATTACATTAGTATGTTTGTGAACACCTCTTCTCTTTCTCTCTTCACTTGGCAGAGGCATGCTTCAGCACAAATGGCCCGGCTCGATCGAACTGATTTCGGACTGAATTCTTTGGTTGCCTTTGACCTTTGAGTGACTGAGGTTACTCAAAGGGCGCCAACGTACTGATGCCCTTAAGCACTCCTGTAGGTCCATTGACGGCGGTAGTCACTTACCATAGCGCGACACATCCGCTCGTTTGACCCCCTTTAGCTTAAAAACATACTTCTCCATAACTGTTGACTTAGGACTCAATGTTGTTGACAGATATCGGTGAGGATACTCTGGAAGAAAATAGTATCTTTGACAACGTACAGTCTGCAGACTCAAAGGATTTTGTAATTACTGTCAAGGAGGAACAGACCGGAGACATGACAAGTATGTATACTGTGTGTTTTTGTTTAAATAAACAACTCTAATGTTTGTGATTCCGGGTACTGTATAGATATTTAAATAAGGGACACAAACGGCAACTGGATTCGACACGAGTACTTGTTCATGATACAAATTAGTTTTTGTGTAAGTGTCTGTCTGCGTGTGCCTAGAAAAAATTCACTTTTGTCAAAAATTTACTTTTTTCATAACAGCATTTCTGAGATAAAAGTGGTTTATTTTTTGATTTTTTTTTTAATTTAAAAATGGTTCTATGTTAAGTCCTCAAAAATATTGTGTTTAAAGCATTTTTATATGTCCTGCTATTTACTCTAATTATATTTAAAATCACACTGTAATTGCCATTTTTATTATCCAGTTGATCCTACTCCGAAGGCATCTACGCAAGATGATCAGAGAAATCCAGAAGATTTAACCTCCAGCAACCTGAAGCATCATGTTCTCGCACAAGACTCTTTAAGAGATCTCTCACATGGGAATGGGAAACCACATCAATGTAATGTGTGTAACAAAAGTTACTTAGGCATTAAATATTTAGCTATTCACATGCGTACACATACTGGTGAGAAACTACATCATTGTGAGTTATGTGATAAACGGTTCTTATTAAATACTGATTTAAGGCGACACATGCGTACACACACGGGTGAGAAACCATTTCATTGTGACATATGTAAGAAACAATTCAAAGTAAAGGAATTTTTACTTGATCATACGCGTAAACACACCGATCCGAAACCATATCAGTGTAATATATGTAATAAAAAATTTTCATGGGAACGTTATAAAACTATTCATATGCGTACACACGCTGGTGAGAAACCATATCATTGTGACATATGTAAGAAACAATTCTCACAAAAGAGTAATATAATTAGACACATACGTATACACTCTGGTGAGAAACCATTTCATTGTGAGTTATGTAATAAACGGTTCTTATTAAATACTGATTTAAGGCGACATATGCGTACACACACGGGTGAGAAACCATTTCATTGTGACATATGTAAGAAACAATTTTCACGAAAGAGTCATATAATTAGACACATACGTATACACTCTGGTGAGAAACCATTTCATTGTGACATATGTAAGAAACAATTCAAAGTAAAGGAATTTTTACTTGATCATACGCGTAAACACACCGATCCGAAACCATATCAGTGTAATATATGTAATAAAAAAATTTCATGGGAAAGTTATAAAACTATTCATATGCGTACACACGCTGGTGAGAAACCATATCATTGTGACATATGTAAGAAACAATTCTCACAAAAGAGTGATATAATTAGACACATACGTATACACTCTGGTGAGAAACCATTTCATTGTGACATATGTAAAAAACAATTCAAAGTAAAGGAATCTTTACTTGATCATACGCGTAAACACACCGATCCGAAACCATATCAGTGTAATATATGTAATGAAAAATTTTCATGGGCACGTTGTAAAACTATTCATATGCGTACACACGCTGGTGAGAAACCATATCATTGTGATTTATGTGATAAACGGTACTTAGCAAATAGTAGTTTAAGGCGACATATACGTACACACACTGGTGAGAAACCATATCATTGTGACATATTTATGTAAGAAAGAATTTTCATGCAGGAGTGATTTAATTAGACATGTGCGGTGTGCGTTACCCCAGCAAAATAATGTCGAAAATGGTCATTTAAACGTTATAGATAATTAGTTGCTCCCCTTCTGTAATTGTTAGGCACATTTATAAATTTGTTTCACTTAAACTTTTTTAGTTATTTCAAAAAAAAACATTTCCTGCTGGGGTAACGTTTGAAACTTTACCGCAGCCAGACATTTTCTTTTTTAATTGTAATATTGAAATAAATGTTAGCTAAATAATTAGTAATCTGGACTAGGTAAATGTTACAACTTATTTGGTATTTGTATGTTCTTCGGCTGCGAAGTTATTCGAGATCCTGCTTGATCCTTTGTGGGTTTGCTGGATCTCTGAAACGGGTAAGCGGATTGTAACTATCTTCGGTACATAACTTCTTAAGGATTTTAAAAGCCAGCACAATGTACTGGGTGATCGCTTTTTTGTAACCACCTAAACATGGTCGGGTTACCACGGTCTTGCACCTTCTAATGACTTTTATTTAATTATCTCGTAAATTATTATATGAACTACGCTGAAATTTTACAGGTAGACAACTGAACTAAACAACTAATTATTGGCATAACATTCAGTTTATATATCCACACACAGGTTTATCGGTGGCCAAAAAAGGCCGCACACATTGTGATCGTGAACGTGGATAGCTACATTTCATCATAACTTTTTAGTCACTTACAGTATTCTTACGAAAATTCGTATACATTTGAAGGTAGTTACAAGCAATAGAATAACGTTTGAAGTAAGTCTTTAGAGGTCTTATTTAAAGTGTTAGGACGTATTGAAGTGTTTTCATACTTACCTAAATAATTTTTAAACGGTCCATTATTTTTGTTATTTTATTGTCGAACAAATTAAAACTAATCCCTGAACAGTATTATAATTAAATAAAATAACAAAGTAGGCCCCTTTAATTTTACAAGTGTTGAATTGAAATTCAAAAATATGGCTGTACTCAATTGAGTACAGTGACTTCTAATGGGTTAAAAGAAATAAATAAATTATTAAAATAAAAAAAATCATAAAAAAAAAAACATTTCCTCAAAAAACGTAATATATTTTCAACTACCGATATTTATACCGATGTCAATGGCTACTCGATGGCATCTCAATAGCGTGTCAGTGATATGACAGTGGCTTGGCGTAAACATAAAATAGCAGAATTGAGGCCCAGGGCGACAACAAAGGTGGGCCCTGAAAATCAGTACTGAGGTGGCATCTGTCCACCACAGTGTAAACTGAGGGTCCACCTACTTTCTTAAACACGGCGTACACCCCTCAGCAACATTAAAGGTTTTTTATGGTACATAGGTTGACAAATATTAGTTGATATACGTAGTTGTATACGTGGCACATTGACGTGTCATGTCAGTGGAAGTCAGTTCTGTCAAACACTGACTTAACATTGACTTACTGAAAATGTTGCAATATTAACATGTTTGTCTAGCCTTACTTGTTATTTAGTTTCTTTGTGTATATTGCGATTTAACTTTTTATTTTTAGTTTTAATTTTTTTAATTTGTGTATGCAGTGTTTTTGAAATAAAAATATATTCTATTCTATTCTATTCTTCTATTCTATATGGATCGAGACGGCGAAGAATGTTTGAGAGAATCTCCCTTACAAGTAGGGTTCCTCATGCGTCTTTCCTAAGACCTCTTCTCTGGAACCTCAACACACATTATGCAGTGCCAAGAACTAGCCTTTCCCTAGAAGTAAATGTCGACTGTCACGCGGTGGAGAACTCGGAGCTGGCCGAGTTATGGGTACTTTGTGTCGTCCAAAAGATCAGCGGTTTGACCTACGGTTAGCGCGCCATAAGACTGCATTCCTTGGTTGAGAGTTGTTGAGAGACTGATTGAGCGTTGTTAAGGCAAAACACTAAGTCGAGTTATAGTCTTTTGGATTGGCGCGGCATTATTTATTGATTTTAATCGTCATGATATTCGAATCCTGCAATTATAATTGTTTGTAAGGTTTAATGTTCTTAAATAGTTTTGTGTTAGATGTAAAAACCGCTATAGTGTTATAGAAAAGAATTATTGTGAAGTAATTTATTATCTATTGTAATATTAAAAAATTTAAAAAAAAATTTTGAATGTAATTGTGTAAATGTTAATGTTATCTGTGTTCTAAACAAACGAATAAACTAACTGGTGGCACCACAAATCCTAACAAAACTAATAATCTCGGGCGCCAGGTGCCTTAACCTTAAATTAACACAGACAACTAACCACAAATACAAGGAATGCCTCGAACAGCTCGGTCAGCGCTAGACTTTTAATCTAGGATGGGGGGCAGCTATTAAATACAAAGATGTTAAGTTCAAGTGGCAGTTTATTATCCCGTAGTGTCTGTAGAGTACATGGTATCTTAAAGTTCTAATTACAATATGTAATTGTTATACTCAAATTAGTACTGTAATTATTGCAATCTGTGTAACTGGTTAAAACAAACTAAAATTAAATATGTTTTGAAGAGTCACATAAAGACTTAATAAATAGGAAATGAATCTAAGGGTAGTTTAACAACGCCAACAAAATTAAAGTAATAAAAAAAACATATCTAATGACTTTGGCTCAGTCCGAATGAAATTAGGGCATAATTAATTCTATTAAATCTCACTCCAGCTCCCACGTGGTTGTAGTGGCGGGGTAAGTATTCCAAGGTTCCTGATAATGGACTGCAGCTAAACAGCTTTTTCTACCATTATAGGTACGCTCCGCAGCAAACTAAATCCTTGGGTCGCGCCGGTAGTGAGGCAAAATCCAAACGTAACGCAATGACATTACAATCCAATAAGAGAATTGAACTAGAGGTTAAGTAAAAATCTGAAGTAAGGTAAAGAAAATAAGGTATAAATAGAATAAGGTGTAAAAAAGAATAAGGTATAAAAACAAACCCTGTTTCATCTGAAACAATGAAAATTATAGGTTATTTGCCTATCTCAAAAGATGAATCCTAAATCTGGTAAGATCCAATAATTTACTCACCAGGGTTCCAGAACGTTTCACAAACAAAGCAGCGGCATTATAATTAATTCCTGTAACCAAATAGACAAAGATTTAAAACAACTATTCTCCATAAGCCAAGTATGAACCACGTGGCTTAACAAGACTTACCTTTACAATGAAAATATCAATTCCAACAAATAACTCGTGTCATTAACGAGACTGGCCAAACATTAAAAGATGAATTATGCCTTCGATTACAGCAAATAAATATGGATTACTAATAAAAAAAAATTACAATCTCTCGCCCTCTCATCTCACACGGGCTGAAATCCAAAGTGACGACCACGGCGTTGACACTTCATACATTGGCTTTTGACTCTAGGAGCTTAGGCATTCATAACGTAACCCCACCAGAGGGCGCTAGTATGGGCCGATGACAGAACTGTCATGTGAATATGTCACAAATACATAAGTCAAAGTCCGTTACAGTTTTGAAGTTGATGGAGTTAAGTTTTGCGTTGATTAATTTCCGTAGCTTATTCTCTCAGTATTTAAACTGTGATTACTTATATAAGTGCATTTGTTCTATAGAATATTTCAATAATGCCGTTTATTTCATGCTGTATACCTTCGTGTCAGAAGACGAAATACGAGGGGTGATCAATAAGTAATGATAATTAATATGAAACAGAACTATTAGATTAAAAAAAGTATTTTATTTTTCAACATAGTCTCCTTGCAAGTTAATACATTTAGTGTATCTTTTTTCTAAGCCCATGATTCCCTTAGAAAAAAATTCTTTGTCTTGACCCTCCCAAAATGCCTCTACTGCGGCCATCACTTCACTATTGTCCTCAAATTTGTTGCCCCGGAGGTGTTCTTTGAGCCGAGGAAAGAGGTAGAAGTCACTGGGAGCTAGATCTGGCGAATAGGGAGGGTTTCGAGCAGTTGGAACCCCGTTTCTTCAATGGCAGCCATCGCAACTGCGGCTTTGTGAGTCGGGGCGTTGTCTTGGTGAAACAGCACTCCAGCGCGCAGTTTACCGCGTCTTTTTGACTTAATAGCTTCTCGCAATCTTCTTATTTGGCCTGCGTAGTAAGAGCCTGTTATAGTGGCCCCCTTTTCCAAATTTTCCACCATAATAATTCCTTCTGCATCCCAGAAAACAGACGCCATAACCTTTCCCGCTGAACTTGACACTTTGAATTTCTTCGGCGTTGGTGAGGAAGCTCGTTTCCAAGTCATTGATTGTTGTTTGGTTTCGGGATCAAAGTGGTGGATCCAGGTCTCGTCCATGGTCACAAAACGCGACAAAAAAAAATCTTTATCGGCCTGGAACTTTTGAAGATTCACCCTCGAAATGTCGACTCGTTTCTTTTTTTGCTCGTCGGTTAACATTCTCGGTACCCAACACGCAGAGACCTTTTTCATATGCATTTTGTTGACAATGATTTTTTGAACGCTGCCATAGGAGATCCCTGTGACCTCAGCTACATGCCTTACGGTCACCCTTCGATCGGCCAACACGATATCTTCCACTTTTTTGACGTTTTCTCCAGTAAGGGACGTGGAAGGGCGTCCCTCGCGATGTTCATCTTCAGTGGAGGTTCTGCCCAGCTTAAATTCCTTTGCCCAGCGTGCGACTGTGGAATATGGAGGAGCAGACTCCCCCAATGTTTCCTCTAAGTCGCTGTGTATGTCTTTGGTAGACATTTTTTTCAGGCAGAGGTACTTGATGACAGCTCTTATTTCATTTTTCTCCATTTTGATGTTTTCTCTTCGACAGTTCGTATTCAAATGAATGTATCTCCCGGTAATGGTGTCCTATTTATACATTTTTTTGAAGCTGAAGTAGTGGATATATAAGCAAGCAGAAAAAAAATAATTTGGGTTTTTGTGCGTTCTAGAAATACTCGATTATCATTACTTATTGATCACCCCTCGTACGATGGTACTTTGTTTCAATTCCCTCGAAATAAAACATTACAGCAAATATGGCTTAAACAAGTCGCACCTCATTATCAACAAGTCAAGCAGCTAACTCCGCAACAATTGATACAAAGAAAAATTTGTATAAGGCACTTTGAACAAAAGTTTCTTATTGGAAATAAAAGGCTATATAATGCTTGCCCTACATTAATGTCTGAAGAAGAAATAACAACAGGAATACTTAGCAACTAATCCTGTGAATATAGAAGGTTAGTGAATGGTTAAAATAATTGATTATTGTATTTAAATTATTATGATGTGTTAAAGTTTGTGTGTAAAAGTAGTTTACAATTTACCAAGAGCTCTAGTTATGTTACAGAATGATTTTTGTAATATACCTCGCTGTTTTAAATTTCAGTTGAAAGTGATCACACATATGCCAAATCAACTACTACATTAGATCACAATTATTGTAAGGGGTCCTAAATGAATACGACTTGTGCACAGCCAAAAAAAGTTCCTAAATTTGAAACAAATGAAAGGTTGGGCTCAGTTGATCAAATTGAAGCCCTCAACATCGAAGGAAAATATTACAACTAGAGGTAAGATAAATTTACATATTTTTAGAATCACATGCTTTGTTATCTATTCAGTAAAATAAATTTGTACAAATAACTACATAACTGTATATGTGATACACATTCAAGAGTACAACTGAAAACCCTATGTGGTTTTTTCCAAAGCCATATCATAATACAAAAATGTATTATTGACTAGTTTAAAAATAGCTATTAAAGCTTACGAGATAGTCTAAAAGCAGTACTGAAAATTTTTAGACAAAAATAACTCTTTATCCTTTAAGTTTCAGGTGTAAAATCAAAAAGGATGCGTCTAACAAGCAGTGTAAGTGTGCACAAAAAATGTAAGCAGATTATTAAATCAAGAAGATTATTTGGAGGTGACAATAGAAAGAACATTGAAGATGCTACTGCTTTAAATGAGACTAAGACTTTTCAAAAAGTGGTTGACAAGTTTAGCTTTATGCAGAGGCAATTTATATCAATGCAATTGAGTGCTATAGGCATAAAGAAACAAAGCAGACGTTACACTTTGGAGCAAAAGTTATTGTGTCTGGCTCTGTATAAACAGAGTCCAAAAGGCTATAGTCTGCTGGACAAACTCTTCTGTTTACCTAATTGGTAACGCCACCTGTCCATAGAGACAGGAACTCTTTAAGTTTTAGTTTAAATTCCCGCTAGGTGAGGCTGTCGGCACCTATCAATCCCTTGATCATATATCGACATCCCGCACGCACGCCGCTAAAAGAAAACAGTTCGGTGACGTTCGAGACGCGAGACACACCGCACGTTTTTTTTTTCTCTCCGCTACCGCATCTCATATAAACATTAAAAACCAAAAATATTGGAATAACACGCGCCGCGTTCAAGTGTCTTCGGATCACGCTACCGCATTGTCCGCTGGGTGTTAAATCGTGCCTTGCCGGCAAGCTAGTGACTTTATACCGCGCAGCGCGCCGCTGTTTTGTTTTCACAAGCCACACCGAAGCCGCGAGAGACCAGCCCGCCAGGTCTGGACAGCAGCTCGACCAGCATCTCAAGACCATCAAGGTAGGCGTGCTTTCCCATATCCTTTTTCCCACCTGTCCGGCAGCCGTAACGTACTCAGCATATCAGTTTCAGGCAGCGTTTCGCTGAAGATATCTGCGCACCCGCTCATATGTATTGGCGCCAATAGATTCTATGGCCACCGCCAGTTGGCGCTAACACTAATAAAAGAACTCTAAATAGAGTTCTTTGAAGGATTCCCATGAGTTGCGGCATTAACAAGGAATTGTTCAGTGCTTTAAAACACAAGATCTCTGAATGGAGTTCTTCAAAAAAATTATACAATATAATATTTGATGAGGTTCAGTTATCAAGTGGACTACATTTTATTTCATCTGAAGATATTATACATGGATTTGTCCCAAATAGCAACTCTCCCAAATCATGCTCTTGTTGTTATGTTAAGAGGTATTAGTGGATCATGGCGACAACCAATCGCTTATTATTTTTGTGAAGGTACAATGCCAACACTTTCTTTGGTTAGCATTTTAAAAGATGTCATACGAGCTGTTTTAAGAACTGGTCTTGAACCATTAGCTTTGATATGTGACCAGGGCATGACAACAACAAACAACAACTAAACGACACCATTTAAGAAATGGTCTAATATGTGGTATGTATATGTATATTTTGTTTATAATTTACGTCTATTAATTTTTAACGATTTTTTAATGTCAATTGCGATTTTTAATTTGAAGGATGTTATTTAGTTGTTTGGTTTGTCAAATACACCTTTATAGAACGGGATCTTAACGAGTTATAGTTGCCAAGATCTTTATTTTTATCGAGATTGCCCAATGAGGCTATTTAGAGAGGCTATTTAGAGAGGACATTCTCAAGAACTTTTTCTACCTCATTCAATTCAGACTTATCCAGGTCATCCCCGATCAGAACTTTGGATTCTAGTATGTCTACAATTATTATATTTCAGTATCCTTGTTGTTTCAGATGGCACTATTTCTATTGATGGAAATAAATTGAGCATTGTGTATGATCCACCGCACCTACTGAAGGGTATGAGAAATAATTTACTGAACAAAGACATGAGTTGGTAAACTGGTGAAGTGGCAAGACATTGTTGATATTTACAATTAGGATTGTCTAATTGGCAACATTGTTGGCCCAGTGAAACTTAATTGGCAACAATATTGGCCCAGTGAAACTTAATTCACCACATGCAGTACATTGGGCTGGTGCAATTAAAACTATTAAAAATAAATAATATATTAATCATGCTAGCAGAACACAAAAAATTAAAAATGTTCCCACATTGGATAATGTGATTACAACCTTAGAAAGCCATTTAAGGTTAAAAGATGTCTTGTTTTCTAAAAAGTTTCGTTCTATTATACAAGTTATTTCAACCAAGATTCCCTGGAAAACTTTTTTGGTAAAATAAGATCTCACAATTAAGAAATAATAATCCAGATACATACACATTTGAAAACTTTTTTAAATCCTTGATTATGACCAATATGTTAAGTATTCATTCTAATCATGCAAATTGTGAGGATGATGTAAGGGCAACAATATTAAATCTAAAGCAATTGTTGTCCCCATGTCATTCATACCAAGCAACCACGATTGTAGAAAAAGAGCCACATAATGTACAGAAGATTGCTGCAATATCAACGACTTCTTCTACTTCCATACAGGATACATAATCAATAATGTAAGGGGTTTCATCATCTGCCTACCCTTTTCCCAATTTTATTTGGGGTCGGCGCAGTATGTATGATTTTTCCATTCTACTCTGTAATGCGTCATCTCACTGTTTACTCCCTTCCTAGCCATATCCTCCCTGACGCAGTCCATCCACCTTTTCTTCGGTCTGCCTCTTCTCTTGTACCCTTCAACTCTCATACCTAAAACTTTCTTCGCCACATTTTCCTCATCCCTCCGCATGACATGTCCATACCAAGATAACCTATTACTTCTTAACTTTTCATCCAGTGGCGCTACTTTCAGACTCCCTCGTATATACTAATTCCTAACCTTGTCCATCTGAGTCACATCACACATCCATCTCAGCATTCGCATTTTGGCTACATTCAGGCGTCTCTCATCCGTTCTCTTAATGGGCCAACTTTCAGAGCCATACAGGACGGCAGGTCTGATAATAGTTTTATAAATTTTTCCCTTCAGTGTTAAGGGGAAACTGGGGTCACAAGTTGTTCCCGTTACCTGCCGCCACTTCATCCATCCCGTATTGATTCGATGCTGTACAGTTCGATCAATCTCACCATCACATTGTAAGAGGGAGCCGAGGTACTTGAAATTGGAGCAGACTGTTATCGCTATCCCATCCAGCGAAATGGTTTCAGGACTGGAGAGACCGCCGAAATCGCAGAACATGTACTCAGTTTTGGTTCTGCTGATTTTCAAGCCAACATTCTCCAGCCTTTGCTGCCATTTTTCCAGTCTGCTCTGGACCTCAACCTCATCTTCACCGACCAACACAATGTCATCTGCAAATAGCATGCACCAAGGTGCCTCCTCCTGTATTTCCGATGTCAGAGCATCCATTATCAATAGGAAGAGGTATGGGCTCAGAGCTGATCCCTGGTGCAAGCCTACAGAGACACTGAATTGATCAGTGTTTCCCGTGACCGACCTTACATGAGTGCTAGACTCTCTGTACATAGCACGAATCAATTCTAAATACTTTACAGGCACTCTTTCTTCTTTCAAAGCCCACCACAAAGCCTCTCGGGGTACCCTATCATATGCCTTTTCGAGATCCACAAACACTATATGCAAGTTTTTGTGCGCACTCCTGTATTTCTCACATAGTTGGCGCATTGCAAATATAGCTTCTGTTGTCCCGCGTCCTGGCATAAACCCAAATTGACTTTGGGTTATCTGACTCTCATCTCTTATTCTTCTCTCAATCACTTTCTCCCAGACTTTCATAGTATGTGACATGAGCTTTATTCCTCGATAGTTGTTGCATTCCTGAACATCTCCTTTATTTTTGAAAATGGGTACGAGTTGAGTTTGACACCATTCCTTTGGGATTACCTCTTCAAGCAACAACATATTGAAGAATAGAGTCAGCCACTCATATCCGTCTTCTTTCAGTAGCTTCCAAACTTCCACTGGTATACCGTCGGATCCAACTGCTTTTCCATTTTTCATACTTCGTACTGCCAATCTAACTTCATCTATACTAATCTCGTTCACCAGTCCGACATTCACATCCACATGCTATAGCACTTCGCTCCATTTATTCTCTTCATTCATAAGTTTTTCAAAGTAAGTTTTCCATCGCTTTTTTATATCTTCATCTTTAACCAACACTCTTCCCTCTTCATCTTTTATACATCTCACATGCTTCAGGTCTTTTGCTCTTTCTTCCCTGTTCTTTGTAATGCGGTAGAGTTCTTTTTGACCTCTAGGTTCATGTAGGTATTTAAATATGTTATATTGAGCTTCAGCTCTGGCTACCGCTACCGCTTTTTTTGCCTTTTTCTTTCACTCTTTATATTCATTCATTTTGACTTCCTTCATTCTCTCACAGACCTTTTCATTTTTCCACGCTTTAAAGGCATCCTTCTTTTCTTTTAGAGCTTTCTGTACCTCATCTCTCCACCACCATGTATCTCTTTCAATAATGCCTTTTCCTTTTGTTTCCCCAAGTACTTCTCTCGCTATCTGTCGTATATAATTTGCCATTTCACTCCACCATCCATCCACAGACTTATCTAGCCTTGCATTCATTTCAATCATTTTTTCTACCACCTTTACCTTAAAGTTACTTGCATACTCTTCTTTCTCTAACATTCGCCACCAATTTTTCTTTCACTTCATCCTTGCATCCAGCTTGAGGTGAGGGGTTTAAATGTATTAAATGCAAAAAAAACAATGTTTACAAAAGAGTTGACAAATGTGCATGAATTAACTTTGTATAGAGAACATCAACAGCCTTTAATAGTCCACTGCTGGACATAAGCCTCTCCTTAGAAAGGAGGTTTAGGCCTACTATACTACGCTGGCCAGACGGGTTGTATAGAGAACGAAAAAGTTAAAAATTTAAAGTATTCCGGTACCCAATTTATTGTAGCATTTTCTCAATTAATCAATTCAATAAGCGAATACTATGTAATGGCACAATTCTGACTGTCTGTCTTTTCTGCTACAGACAATATCTTATTTCTATTATTTGTGCTAAGTATACATATTTTACTTTTTGCCATACGTTCCTTTTCATTTTGTGATTTTAATAGACTGTTACATGGTGTTAGTTTTGATTGCCGGTCCTCGTCTAATAGTTTAGTATGAGGGGTAGTCTGCGTTTGTTTATTTTGTAAGACTTTGGGCATGTTCTCATTCGAATGAACAACATTTGTGTCAGCGTCACAAGATGATAAATTTACGCGCCTTGTAAGTTTTCTTTTACGTGTTGATGTGGGGGTTCTCGAGGTTGGACATTGAGGGGAAGAGCATAATTTTTTGTAGGCATCTATTGTTTTAAGTGACTTTTGTAGATCAGTTTTTAGTTGCATATTTTCTCTGTTTAAGTTGTCTATCTCTTGATTTGCGCTCAGCAATTGCATGCTTAATTCTTGTATTTTTTCATTCAAACCACTTATTACCATGTCAGCTCCACTTTGATTCTGTAAGCTATGTTGGATGCTCAATATGGTTGAATTGAACAATGATTCCTCATATTTATTTGTATTACTTTCTATAGATAGATCATTGAGTGAGCTTGTTCTACGAGGTTTGCGATACGTTATGTTATTAATTTCGAAATCCATATTTTTGCTTGTTGTTTCTTAGTAGCGCCCTCTGTTATTAATGTAATGTATGTTCTTTTTAGTACAGTTACACAGTTCTTACTTTTTGCATTTATAGTTTGTTGTTGTTTAAATGTTCTACCAAATAATGTTAGTGTTTACTTGAAAACATGGGATAGTCCTACAAAAAGACATCGACATGCGTGGTTCGAACCGACACCCCCTTCGTCTTATAACAGGTGGGCCAAAAGAAATCACCCTATTGGAAGATGCTCTTATTTTTGCAAATGGCGGCCAATGTCAAATCTGTTTTAACATTTGTAAACTAGACAGAAGTAGAATACAAGTGAACAAGCCATGGAGCGATACACTCACCAAGAACGCGGCACAATCGTGTCTATTTTTTTGCGTAACAATTCGTCTGTGGTGTTGGCGCAGCGCGAATTCCGTCGCCGATTCCCCGGTCGTCCGGCACCGACTGCGCAAACACTGCGCCGTTTGGCCACCAACCTTGAAGAGTATGGAACCACACGAGACGCTGCCAAGAGTGGCCGGCCTCGGAGCGCCCGTTCTGCCGAGAATATCGCCGCTGTTGCCGAGGATGTCGAGCTGTCGCCAGAAACATCGACCAGACGCCGTGCCTCGCAATTAGCCATCAGCCGGTCGTCCCTAAGGCGAATTTTGGTCAAAGACCTGCGCATGTTCCCGTACAAAGTCCAGTCCGTGCATCACCTGCTGCCTGTCGACCGCCAAACGCGTGTAACCTACGCCCAAGCCATCCTCAATCTCGAGGACGAAGTGGACGATTTTTCGACCAAAATCATAATGAGCGATGAGGCTCATTTCCACCTCAACGGGTACGTGAACAAGCAAAACTATCGCTTCTGGGGCACCTAAAACCCACGAGTGATGCACGAAGAGCCATTACACCCACTCAAAGTGACTGCATGGTGCGCTGTTCACGCTGGAGGAGTCATCGGGCCATTTTTTTTCGAGGACGCCGCTGGTCAAACGACAACAGTGGACGGTGCGCGCTATAGGGCCATGTTAACAGAGTTTTTTCTGCTGCAATTGAACGAATTAGGACTGGAGGACATGTGGTTCCAACAGGATGGAGCAACGGCACACACTGCGCGAGCCACAACCGATATTCTGAAGACGGCGTTCCCGGGTCGCCTCATCTCTCGTTTTGGCGATTTGCACTGGTCCGCAAGATCGCCCGATTTAACCGTTCCAGACTTTTTTTTGTGGGGTTTTTTGAAGTCCCGTGTTTACGTGAACAAGCCCGAGACCCTGGAAGCCCTCAAGGACAATAT